GACACCTGATCAAAATTTAATGGTCAGTCGCTTACTGGAATTTTTCTCCGGTCATCTACTGATCTGTGCAAAACTACATTTCTTTAGTGTCTATCTTTTACATCGCTGCGCCTTCAACAAACGAACAATATATGAAAAAAGGAACAGAAAGGAAGACAAGTTGGCTTCGTATTCTTCCAATATTCCTGTATCTCCTTATTGCCGCCACCTATCCAATCAATGATATTTCTTGAAATTTTGGATTGAAATATTAGCAAGCATCACAAACGTTATTCCTTTATTCTTATGCACAAACTACTCTTAACTATGCCTATTGTAATTATCACTACATAAGGAACAAAGAAATTTTTTCCGAATAGATGGTTTTATTCTTCATTTTTGCTTTTTCACAACGTTTTCAGTGTTTGGCAGCTACACTTTTACCAATTTAACATTCACTTTCACTATTAGAATATTTCAATCGTTCCTCTTTTCCACCGAATTTTCGGCTTGCTATATTTGTCTTTTTCGACGTCACAGTCAGACGTTTTAATTGATTCTTTATAAGTCGTAATTCTTCTTTCTGATTTCTTAGGCTTAAATGTTCGATGTATTCGATCAAAAGAGTGCATCGCTATAGTATCTATATATATATATACATATATGTATATATATATATATATATATATATATATGTATATATACTATATAGTATATATACATATATACACACATATATAATGCGCAATGTCGTAAGCTTATCAACTTCTGTAAGATCAGGTTTAGTGTTGTTTTTTAATAAGCAGATCAGATTGTTAATAGAAAACAGGAGGCATAGAGAAAAGCTCTTCACTACGAGATTCACTTATGTATAATATTAAGATATAATGCTTATGTATAATATCAAGATATACCTGCTTTGGATATGCGAAAATATTGGATTGTCCCATCATTGCCTTTGCACTATTGTTTCATACAGTTTTTTCTACTTGAAATCAGGTTATTGCAAAAAGGCTGTGATTTGTTGATGACTGTTTTATTAGCCTCAGCCACGATGGTATAGAAGAACATTCCTGCTGCAGAGTGATCAACTGAGAATCAAAATGGATTGGTTCTAGGAGCGCTCGATTATGCGTTACGATTATAAGTTGGAGGCCACATCAAAGAAGGCGGCCGAAAAGATTAACACAGTGTTTTCGTTCCGACGAAGGCGATAGGAGCCGCCAAGGTCATCACTCTTACTGACCAGTCAAGTTTAACGGAAACGCTCTGCTCCAGGAGCTGGAAGTGCATCCGGATGCTAGTATCGGAGATTTGAACAGATATTTGGATACGGTCGTAGCACCATTGCTTTCTTTCTAAATAAAATGAATCACCGTAAAGTGACGCCTCAATGGACACCACATGCATTATCTGCGGCGTCTGCGTTTCACGCGTGATCAACTACGAACGTCATCTGCTGCTATTGCACAGGCAAAACTTTCTCAATATGATCATCGCTTGAGATAAATCCTTTTCGTCTACTGCGAGAACAACACGCGCCACGCCTACTAACTGCCTCTCGACAAGGACCCGGCACCTTAGCGAAAACGAGCTAAAGCCTAAGTTCCATGCAGAAAAGATTATGCTCTCTATTTCCTCTAATTAATAAGGCATGTTGCTTTGTGATCTGCTCGACGACTAGCACACAATCGCTGCTGGCGTCTACGGCGAATTTCTCTGAATATTGGCCGCAAGACTGCGAGAGAAGCGTCCAAAACGGCTCAGTTTTCCCTTACTCCAGAATAACGGCAGGCTCACATAGCAAAGTCGGCTCGCCAGATTTTGAACAAATTAGTTATGCTACGGCATCACATCCACCATATAGCTCTGATAATGCTTTATCAAGAAGTTATTTTTTTCTTGTCCTGAAGCAGCATCTACAGGACAAAAAAACTCGTGACTGCTGTCAGCTCAAGTGCGCCCTCACTGACTTCTCCTGTCGTCGACTTCTTTATTTCTCGTAGAAAAGCATCATCGTTGCATATCAAATGGTTCCATATCATTGATCATAATTACCATTATATTGTTCATCAATTAAAATTCTCTAGTAAAATAATAATCAATGCGACAAAAGTGTGAAATTTTGGAAGAAATGGGACAACCCAACAAATAGTCGACCATGAAAATGTTATATTGTACATTTTTTTTTGGTTACAAGAGGACAAATGGAAAACCACTCTCATTCCTTGGAGAGGAGATTTTCGTAGGAGTGTTGGTAATTTTTCGAAAGCTGAGATTTCTGGCTACAGGCCCATGTGACCTGTTTTCCAAAAGACCATTTTATGACGCTGTAAAATTGAATATGTAGCGTCGTCTCAGACGAGCATATTTCTGTATGGACAGAACTCTTTATTTTGGACTATTAGCAATCATTTGTTAGCGTAATGTTTGCTGATTCCAAACCTGTGCTTATTTTCTAGGAAAACGGTCTTTCCTGCAACGCAACAGGAAAAGCAGGATTGATCCACATGCACGAGCAAAGTGGTCTTTAGCCAATTCACCGGCTGCTGAGCGAGGCAGCAATTGAGGTTGCGCAGTTCGATTGATTTTCGATTGGACTGATGCTAGTGCGAATCTTTGTTATTCAATTACAAATAGCTTCGCCGCCTTGAAAGAAAAGCTTCAGATAAAACGAATGAGTCTGCTAGAAAATGACTTTAAATACTCTTATTTTGCCTTGAATATTTATCAGTATGAACACTTTGATGGAATTTAAGTGGCCAGAAAGTAATAATTGTTTGCAGCAGTGAATCAAAAGCACGCAGATACTACAAAATGTTCTCCACACGTTCATTTGCTCGCAAATCACTCCAGCTGCGTTGCAGAAAACTAGTCTTTTCACGATATAACCACATCGTTTGAATCAGCAAACATTACGCTATTGAATAGTGCAAAGGAAGAGCTCTGTCCTGCGAGATATATGCACATGTGAAACTCAAGAGATTTCCTTCTGTAATAACGTCAAAAAGGCTTTTTCAAAAACCGACCATGTGGGGCTGTATCCGGAAATATGAGCTTTCGAATGATTACTAACACTCCTGTGAAAAATTCCTACCCAGCGAATGAGGCCGCTTTTCAATTTGCTCCTTATAATCAAAAAGAACTGTAGTAGATTGTGCGGAGTCAGCACGGAATTTCACCTTCTGCTTTGCTGTGTAGCGTAATCTACATCACTGCAGGAAAAGTTTGATAGCATGCGTACAGGAGACGTATAATCACTATTCTTGCGTAAATTTTCAACAACGATGTTTTCTGTCAAATTCCTTTCACAAAAAAAGACTTTGAAATTTGCTTAGATATCTAAACTACTCCCACGGCTCCAGTCTTCATTTAGTCTAATTACTTTCTCTGTAAGTTAGAACAACAAGCTACAATGAAGTTGAACAATGACATACTCCTTGATTTTCAAACTCCTGCTTTACCATAACGGATAAGACTAGTGCACGAGCTTTGCCTGCTACGGGTTCAGTAGTTCGCACAAGAAAGTCTCCATTCGAACGGAGCATCTTCTGAAAGAATTTAGCGAATCTTTTTACTCTGACATCTATTGATATACAAGCAAAATTCGGGGCCTTAGGTGCGCTTCAAACAGCTTGATTATCACTTACAGGTGCTCACGCGTTACCCACTGCACCATTGAAATCCATGTTTTGGCTTTGTCTGTCTGCTAGGGTGCCATTAGTAATTAGTCAACGCCATTAATCTAGTGATCACCAAATACAGATATAAGTCAAACAATAAGATTTGAGCTACGGTCTCTTCTTAGCTGTGCTAAATGTCCAAAATGTCCTCTGTCCCGCAGATCAATATCACTGCTGAATGAATGCTGATAACGCTAATGCTTTCGGAAAAATGATTGAGAGAAAAGCACATTGAACACCCTGGTGAAGTAAGTGGTAACTTGTGAGCTTCTGGAAAGATTAATAAGGGATTAGAAGTTTACATGAGTATTCGAGAGAGTGTGTATTGAGAATACTATTGTCTATAAAAATGATATCGAGGAAAGGACGAAATGTTTAGCAAGATCTATATTCGTGGGACGCGCCATATGTTTGGCTTTGTCAAACTTTGTGAAGTTCATTGTATGCACATCTTCCATGCATACTCATTCAAGGTGGCAGATGGCCTTTCGATGTACCAGTTTGTACAGTTGCCCTTCCTGAGAAATCTGGCAGCAAGATGCCGAGCGATGGAACTATGGAAGATAATGTGTGGAACGCAAGCAGTGACTGGCTCATAGTATATTTCGAGGTACCTATCTACCACAGCTCAGGTCATGTTTAAAATTGACTCACCTTAATGTCCTCACGTGGGAGCAGGCCATGATACCAAGATTCGCACGAGAGCTGCTTGTCCATGTCGACTAACCTTCTCGAATGAGATGTGAACAATGAATGAACCACCTTGATTTCAATAAGCTATTCTTGTATTCACTTGTTTACTATCACTTCATTTGTTTGGTTGTTTGACGCATATCGCTGAGATATTATGTATTACGAATACCTTATTATAGTTACGAACTAGCTCGAGCGGTCGTAGACACTAAACTTCCCCGTTCAAAATACCATAAAGAAAACGACATATCGTCTTAGCGTTCAATTAGAGTTCAATATTAGGCGCCGATTGCAAAAATAACAATTTCCGCGTATTTGACAGATTATCACGAGTAACGCTAGTAAGAAAAATCACCTGCAAATATCTTATTTTATAGAAGAATGTTATGAACAACGTAAAAAAGCAAGTTAAACCACTTGTGTCCCTACTGAGTACAAGGCTTTCAAGTCAATGAATGCAAAACGGCAAATAGGTTCTAGTCTTAAGAAAACCATTCCTTGTGAAGATCTCATTTCAAAACAGTTCAATTACATGACCCTTGTTCACTCAGCGTACTACCAATTCTCTGAGGATGGTGCAAGTAAATCTGAAGAAAAAGCAATAGACGGAATACCCAATAATGTGGAGTGCTGTGCAGAAACATTTGTGTCAGCCGGGATTCGAACCCAGATCTCACTCTTTCCTGTAGAGTAACGCTACTACCGTTGCACCACCGACGCTCGTTCTATACAGCATTTTTATTTACGCTCATAGCGCGTTGTCTGCCAACAGCCAACCGCAGACGGTTTGCCGGGGCATCCGCTATCGGCACTGAATCCACCTGTGTTGGCAGATATTGGATCTCGATACTCAGTCAGAATTCTTTATATTTGACTGCCGCTGCAGTGGCATGAATTTATGGTATACCCATAATGTGGAGTACTGTGCAAAAGACTTGCGTCAGCCGGATTCCAATCCAAATCTCACTCTTTCCATTAGAGATGCTACTAACAGTTGCACCACCGACGCTCGTTTTATACAGCACTTTTATTTACGCTATAGCGCGTTGTCTGCCAACAGCCAACCGCCGACGGTTTGCCGGGGCATCCGCTATCGGCATTGAACCCACTTGTGGTGACAGACACTGGATCTCGATAAACACTCAGATTTCTTTTTATTGACTGCCACTACAGTGGTATGATGTTATGGCCTACCATAATCTGGAGTGCTATGGAAAGACATTGCGTTGGCCGGGATTCAAACCCAGATCTCACTCTTTCTGGGAGCGCGTGCAAACAGTTGCTCCACCAACGCTCGATTCTTGCAGTACTTTTTTTACGCCGTGACGCGTTGTATGCCAACAGCCGTCCGTCGACGGTCTGGCGGTACAGTCCGCTATCGGCATTGAACCCAATTGTGTTGACAGACTACTGGATCTCGATTAACACCAGATTTCTTTTTGTTTGACTGCCACAGCAGTGGTATGATGTTATGGTGTACCCATTAATATGGAGTGCTGTGCAAAAAGATTTGCTTCAGGCGGAACTCACCGAGCTGATAGCAGCTGTCCCGTTAAACCGTCGACGGTTGGCTATTGGCATATAACGCGTTACGGCGTAAAAAAGTCCTGTACGAAGCGAGCGTTGGTGGAGCAACTGTTCTCACGCGCTCGCGGAAAGGGTGAGATCTTGGTTCGAATCCCGGCTGATGCAAATGTCTTTGCACTGCACTCCAGATTATGGGGCATGCCATAACATCATACCACTGGAGTAGCATTCAAATAAAAAGGATTGTGACTGATTATCGTTGTCCGATGTCTGTCAAAACAGTGGGTTCAATGCCCATAGCGGCTTCCTTGCGAGACCGTCACTTTTGGCTCTTGGCATACAACGCGTTATGGCGTAAAAAAAGAGTGCCGTACAAAACGAGCGTTGGTGGTGTAACGGTTAGAATACTCTAAGGCAGAGAGTGAGATCTGGGTTGGAATCCCGGCAGACGCAAAAATTTTTGCACAGCACTCCACATTATTGGGTATACCATAACAACATACCACTGCAAGTGACAGTAAAATAAAAATAATTCCGACTAATTATTGATATCCAGTGTCTGCCAACACAAGTGGGTTCAATGCCGCTAGCGTCTGCCCCGCCGGACCGTCGACGGTTGGCTGTTGGCATAGAACGCGTTATAGCGTGAAAAAGAGTGCCGTACAAAATGAGCGTCGGTCATGCAACGGTGAGCATACGCTTGCGGAAAGAGTGAGATCTGGGAGCGTATGCTAACCGTTCCCGGGAGCGTATGCTAACCGTTGCACGACCGAAGCTCGTTTTGTAGAGCACTCTTTTTTACGCCATAACAGTTGTCTAAAAACATCCAACCGTCGACGGTCTGGCGGGGCAACCGCTATCGGCACTGAATCCACCTGTGTTGACAGATATTGGATATTGATACTCATTCAGAATTCTTTATATTTGAATGCCGCTGCAGTGGCATGATGTTATGGTGTACCCAATAATGTGGAGTGCTGTGTAAAGACATTTGCGTCAGCCCGGAATTCGAACCCAAATCTCATTCTTTTTGTTAGAGTATCCTAATCGTTGCACCACCAGCGCTCGTTCTATATAGCACTTTTTTATGGCTATAACGCATTGTGCTAAACAGTCAACCGTCGACGGTCTGGCACTGCAGCCGCTATCGGCATCGCACCCGCTTGTTTTGACAGAAATTTGATATGGATAATCAGCCAGATTTCTTTTATGTGTAGTACTGCGCAAGGACATTCCAACTCAGCCGAAATTCCAACCCATATTTCACTCTTCCTGTCAGAGTATTCTAATCGTTGCACCACTAGCGCTCGTTTTGTACAACACCCTTTTTTACGCCATTTCACTCATTTAAAAGTCCGCCTTCTCCTGCGTTGATTGGTAGTAATTTGTTTATTTTTTTTCAAGATTGAGTTAACAAGCGAGCAAATTAGGCTGTTGATGATGCAAGAATGGCTGTTGTGTTCAAATGCAACGTTGACAACTAAACGCATTAATCTAGACGACCTAAGGCGGCTGATCTTCCAAACTTTACCTTCGTCAAACTTTTTGAGCCACCCGCACACCATACTTATGCCAACTGCGCGTTCGCCTTAAGCCAGCTTGAGGAGTTCACATGCCACCCTTGCATTTGAACCAAACAGCCATTCGTGCGTCATCACCTGTACCACCTTCCGCCTCTTTGGTCGTCGAGTGACTCGAGCGGGTACCAGAAACTCTTGCATTTTTTCCTATCGCTTGCAAGAGTAGCCCAGTAAGTCCTTCTCGCTCTGAGGATTCGTTGAGCATCATACCTTTCTTTTATCGTATTCGTGAAGAAATCGGACAAACGGGTCGGTGGTCTATCTTTAAGGCGCTTGACGTCCCGAGGATCCAGTCGGTAGCAGCTCTCGCCCATCGGTTGTTGTCGAGGCGTGTCACGTGTCAGGCCCACCTTATTTTCAATATACTGGCGTGTAAAACGACGTCTCTAATTTTCTGTCGTTGACGTAGGTCGAAACTTCTCATTGCGAGATACGAGATACTCCTAGCATGGACTTTCGACAGCGCGTTCGGTAACGCCAAGTGATTTTTCATCCTGCTTACGTAGCGACCAGGTTTCTGCTGCGTACGTTAGATCAGGGATAATTGTCGAGTCGAAAATGTGGGCACGGAGTCGGATGTTCTTTGTCCTCTTCACTACATCTTCAATGCCCTCAAACGTTCCCCAAGCCGCTCGTATAATCGTGCTCAACTCTGGAGCAATGTCGTTCGTCATGTTGATTTCATGACCATAGATAGAAGTAATTGGAGCAATCGAAGATTGTCGTTCCGATGAGCGTGAATGGGGCATTCGGAATCCATCTGTTCCTCATGAACAACGTTTTCGTTAGATTCAATTGAATACCAATCTTTCCGCAGGCGATATCGAAATCGGTCGACATTCGTTCCGCTTGGCTGATGTTTGGTGATATGAGAACGATATCGTCAGCAAAGCGAAGATGATTTTAGTCGACCGTCAATTTTCACTCCCATATCGCCCCATTCTAATGCGCATGACGTTTTGTAGGATGACAGTGAAGTTTTGGCAAAATTGTATCGCCTTGTCGAACCCCTCTTCTTACGTCAATACTGATGTTATTGTATAATGGAGATATTTTGGTCTGAATCCTTATAAAGCTCACGAAGGATCATTATGTACCTAGTAGGGACGCCCTGTTTATCCAAAACCTCTAAAACCGCTTCCTTTTTCACTGAATCAAAAGCTTTGTTGAGATCGATAAAAGTGAGACAGAGTGGTTGTTTGTACTGTCGTGAAACTCCAATGAGTCTTGTAATTGTGTGAATGTCGTCTGTGGTACTAAATTCTTTTCGGAACCCTGCTTATTCGCTTGGCTGTCCTTCGTCCAGTGTTCTGACAACCCTGTTCAGGAATGACTCGACTAAAGAGTTTATAGACAGCGCAAGCAAGCAGATTGGGCGACAATTGCCTATGACGTGAGGGTCTCCTTTCTGAACAACAATACGGTCTCGCTGGTTTTTCACTGAATAAGGACCTTGCATTCTGACAGGTAGTGAGTGAAGAGCCGAGCTAGGGTGTTGATGAGAACTGGCGGCAGGTTCTTCAGGTGCTCTGGTCTAATCTTGTCTTGACCGGGTGCTGTTCTGTTTTTCGCGACGATATAGCATGTCGGATTTCGGAAAGGAGGACCAGTGGAACGACCTGTGTTTTCTCGTTCAATTTGTATGACGGTAACAGGACATGGCTAGAAAAGAGATTCGAGTAGTATTGGTGGATTATCTTCTCATAGCCCTTCTCAGAGGTGTAAGCATCATTTCAGCGTATCGGAGTGCAATCATCTTGGTCTTATAGTTGGCTTAGCCTCGCTAGGCTTTGCGAATGCTCTTCCCGGCTTCTGCAGCTTCTGCCATAACTGCTCCTCTTCTCCTTTTAGGGTATTCTTTTATTGCTTCTCTGCAGCGTTTCGCAAGTTCGGACGTGGGGTTTCGGTTACCTATAGCTTTTGCGATTCCACGTTGACGTATCAGCTCGAGTGTCTGCGGAAGCAAGCTTGTCTTCGTGACCTTGAGACTCTCGGCTTTCATAGCGCTAATGTGAAAATATTCAACAAGCCAATCTTTTCTTTGTCGATGTTGTCGACAACGGTATCTTCCCAAGATCCGACTAATGATTTGAATACATTTCAGTATGGTAGTTTTGAAACTTCATTGTTTAAATTTAGCGGCTTTTTTCCTCTCCGTAAAAAAGAAAACGTTGCGCTAAGGAGGCGATTGTCTGGTCCCTTGTAGAACTTAGGAGCAACAGCAGCATCGGTCAGACAAAAGCTTTGATTAACTAAGATGTGGTCCATTTCGTTATCGTACTCTCCATTGGGAGACTCGCACGTCCATCACTGAGAGTGAGGCTTTTGGAATTATGATTTACCATGGATGGTTTGGATCGTCATGATAAAGTCAGATAGCCGCTCACCCTGTTCATTCCATTCTAGACCGTGGGTCCCTATGTGACGTTCTTCAGACGTTCTTCTAGGTCCAATTTTTGCATTAGAATCTCCGACAATGACCTTGAAGAATGTACGATCTTCTTTGAAGAATTTTTCGAGGTCCATATAGAACGCTTCGACTTCGTCTTCGTCATAGCTTGATGTTGGTGCATAAGCAACGAAGACAGTCGAAGCCGGCATAGAACTACATCT